TCCTCAGGTCCTCCCTGCTTTGCTCCCAGCCAGAGACCACTTCGAGTGCCACCTCACCTCTGCATCACGAGAATGAATGCTACTAGAGGTCTACTCAACCTGTAGTCCAGGGACCAGCAACCAGGAGGCCCCAGGAAGACAGGAAGCATCCCGGTACCAGAGCCCAAGACCTGCCGACCACATCCTCATTTTCTTCACTGCCGGTTTCTGGACTGGAGTCTTCGCAGGATGAGTGACAGCAAGGACAGCTCATCCCCCACAGATAGGGCTATGGTTGTGTCCTCATGCCAATGCCACCACATTCCATGCTATTCCGTGTTAGAGCACCATATGAGGAATGGCAAAATCCCAGCCATAGCACTCCGCTCAGGGCAGGTCCAGTTGCTTCTGGATTACTGCACAGTGTCAGGGGCACATCCTTCCTGTAGCCCCTTCATCTCCACTCTGCAGCTTTTACAAACTGTGGCTCAAGAAGAAAGTGTGTGACTACAAGAAAAATAAAAATATACAGGCACAAGGTAGTCTAAATTCCCACAGAGAAAAATCAAGTCCCATAAAGAAGTGACAGTCTGGTAAAGAATACGTCCAAATTAGGTTACCAAACTGACCACTCAGCTTCTCTGTCTGAAACTTTGCACGAGGTTAACAAGGATTTTAATTTTCCTCAAGCAGGTATTTGCTTTACTTGACACAACTAAAAGACCCTCAGTGGGAAAAGGTATGATCCATCACAGTTGAGCCCAAAGGGTGGGCTTCTGAGCAGTAGAGTCAGCATCACCTGGGAACTTGTTAGAAATGCAAATTCTCCAGCCCCACCTAGATGTACCCAATCAGAAACTCCGGGGGTGGAGTGAAACTCTGGGTTTCAAAGGGCCTCCAGGTGATTCCGGTGCAGTTTGGTGTGAGGACCACGGGTCTATCAGATTCTAAAGTAAGCTGCTTCTTTGAAGGCAAAAAACTGCTGGTAACTTTCAAATGATGATTTTTCCTCTCTCAGGACCTCATGGGATCTAAATTTGTTGAGATCCAGGCTCAGCCAGGGCCACACTACTACGGTGTGTTGTTAAATAAGTTTGTTGATATTAACTCAAAACCTTGAAAAAAAAATTTTAAACAATGACAAAGGAGAGAATATAAAATTCAATTTGGTTTATACAAGGAATAATAAATATAATTATTTATATTACCTTCTCACCATTTTTAAACACCTAAATGCCATACTGCTTAAAAATTGCATATTAATACTGTTTTAAAATGTGTACTAGATAAGCTATGTCCTTTGTTTTATTTTGTTACATACACATGGCTGTCTCTTCACAATTTAAAAAATTAGAACATTGTGATCTTATTATTCATTCTCCCAACCATGGAAGGATATCTCAGAAAGGAATAATCAAAGTGCAGCTTTTTTATGCCTTACCTATTTTCACCCACACACAACTTATCACGGTGAAACAACTGATGTTCAGCTCGAGAGCATCCTCTCCTGAAACAGTCCAGTTGCACATTTCTTTGCTATTGCATATCCTTCAAGTTGTGGTAGAGGAAAAACTGTGCTCCAAAATGGAGCAGAAGATACTGGAGGGCAGCAAAAGCTGTGCATCACACAGTGTGTGAAGAGTTGACAGAATGAGCTGAGAGCATTACCACATTTTCTTGGCTTGGGGGACACTTATAAGGTAACCTAAGTTTGGCAGCTGTAACTGAGCAGTCTGTGGACTTCAGGATTTGTGTGAATGAGACGCAGAGGGAGGAGAAAAATTCAACGATTTACTATAGTTATAGGTTATAATTATTTTAATAATCTATAATTAAAAGTAATTAGGAAATGCCAAGAAGCATCAGCTACCAAGTTGAACAAATGACAAAATTACATCAAACTTTTTTGCAACTATTTGTAACATCTGTTTGTCTACGTCTACAGCAAAGTCACGTATGCAAATCAGCCTCTGGCTCCCTATTACTCTGCCTGTGTCCCACTCTTGACAGACCTCTGATAGGATCCTTCACTCTGGATCATTTTGGCCTTTTACCCCTTTAGTCATTAACTTAGGCTAAAGACTTTCCACTCAGTTACAGTCAGCTTATAACCAGAGGTGCCCTCTGCTCTCCACTTGAAATTATTCAAGTTCTTTCCAATCAATCCATTTCAACCTCTCTCTCAATCTCACTTCCTCTCTACTCCCAGACCTCCTATTTTTCATTTTCACTCATTCCTCTATCTCACAGATTCTCTATAGTTCCTCCAGTAAAGGAGAAAGGGGTTTGCACAGGATGTACGTGAACAAATTCTAGAATACTGTATGGTTCTGAGGTAACTCAAGAGTCCAGTTTGAAGGACCCTCCGTGTGTCTCTGATGGGCCAGTTGGTCCTCTTCTCTCTCATCCATCCTTCTCTCTCTGCCGCTGAGCCTGGTGCTTTGCTGAGCTCTCACACGTGCCCAGCCTCCCTAACTAGCGATATAAGATGTGGCCTCATTTCCTTTGTTACCCAAATTATGACTTGCACTGACCTTCCCATATCTGAACTTGGGCCCCTCAGTGGGTCCCCCAGTTATGTAAATGATTCCCCAAGATGCAGTCTTAAGGATGTCCTGAAAGAAGTCTCTCTTCTCTTTCTACTCCACTCTCCAGCCTGTTCTCCCTCTGCACTCCACCGCTCCGTGCCAATGGGACACACTCTTCCCCACAGCCCAACCAAGGCTGGGCTGCAGATCCTGACAGGATACTACTGAAGATTCAGGGACAATAAAGAGAATTATCTCGTTGAAAATGGCTACTGATGGCGTTGTGGATGGCTCTTCTCAACGCAGAGGCCCAGACCCAGTCTCAGGTTCAGGGCTACCTCCCCACCCCTCCATTTCCCCACCATTGAAAACCCCTCAGGTTTGTCTCTGCTCTTCAGGTCTCCAGGTCCTCACAGTGATTAGACCTAGAAGGGAAAAGAGCTCCCCCAAATCCCCAGTCTAAGTTCCCACTTCTTGTATGACAATCTCCCTTTTCCCAAGGTTGTTGAGAGAGGGAATGTCTATCACTTATGCAATAAATCTCCCGCCATTTCCTTGATGCCCAGTGGCCCTCAGGAAACAACTACAGCAGAACATCAGCACAGGAGAGTTAGCCTGAGATGAACACTTAGTGGAGGACGCAAACAGGCCAGGCCAGGCGGAGCTCCTCTGACAAGCTGTCCTCTCATCCTCTCAACTGCTCCATCCCTACACCGAAAAACTTTGCAGCATCTGAGTCATAAATCCATACATAGTCCAAGAGACTAGTTCTCCCAGATTCCAATTCCAATCAATGGGGTTTCCTAGACCTATGCTAAGCCTAATTATGCACCACTCTTCATATTAGCTAACAGAGGGCTTAGCTCCCAAAGTGAGAAAAATCTGCATTTTTTAATGGAAAAAGTCCATTTTCTTCTAGAACAATGGCTATATACAAGTTTACATTTCATTAACTAAAGGGCCCAATGAAATAGTTTTCTCAGAACAGAGGAAAAGCTTGCCTGGAAGGTAAATTCAAATATGTTACTCTTTCAAGGCAGAACCATGTGAAATTTTATTTAGATATATTTTAAGTTAGAAAATCATTATGAAGAAAACAAAACATGGTCCTATACTCTGACCCTTTTTCTAATTTGGAAACTTTTCTAATTACAATTAGCTTTGAAAACCATTTAACAACTTCTTGCATATCCTTCTAAAAAGTTATGCCCATATCAGCACACATGTATGTATGTCTTTTTTTTCCCACAAAAAAATATATGCATATTCTGAATTTTCCTTCTTTCTTTTCTTTCTCCTCATCCTCCATTTTCATTTAACTTAATATCTCAAGTATTTTTACATATCAGCAATATAGATGTATTTCTTTAAGGTCTGTGGTATTCCATTTATGGTTTTATCAACGTGTATTTAACTAGTTCCCTTTTAATGATAAATGGGCATTTAGGTAGTTCCCAGGTGTTTTTAGTGGGAAAGGCAGGAAGGATTAGGGTTATTACACATAATTCTGGAATAAACATGCTGATATGTATAATGTTTGTATAGTTTGTGACTATGTTCATAAGGTAAATTCCTAGCAGTGGAATTTCCAGGTCAAAAGGCATAGTGGTTTTACATTTTGACACATATTGATTGTAATAATTTATATTCCCAAGAATATCTGTATTCTCATATACTTGTCAACCCTGGGGATTATTATGTTTATTAAGTTTTGCCCATCTGATAGGTAGAACATGATATCTCATTGTTTCCATTTAGATTTCTTTAAATATAAGTGATGTTAAATAACTTTTCATTGGTCTGTTGGCCACTGGTATTTTTTTTCTGTTAGCTCTGCATTCACATCTTTTGCTCATTTTCCTACCACATTTTTAAACTTTTTTTTACTGAGTTGTAAGATTTCTTTGTTAATCAAAACATGTAGTTTTTATTATTATGTGTTGCAAATATTTCTTCCAGCATGGCATTTATCTTTCGATTTTGTGCATATTACTTTTTGTTCTGCAGAAGTTTCAGATATTTGTGCAATTTTCCAGATTCTACCTAGTAAAGTTAACCAAGAAAAAAAAATCTTGAGGCTGATTTCTGTCTATACTGTGTCCTTCAAGGTAGCTGCATCCTTGCAATGTTGATGCTCCGAGGACAATAAGTGATAAAAAGTGAGGCTTATGATAGCTCACATGTCTCCTCAGAACAGACATTCTGTTCTGATCTGAGAATCAGAATTCCTCTTACAGCCTGAGACTGACCCAGACTTCAACGGGTCAGGGCATGGTCCAGTGACCACACTCCTTATAGAATCAGTTACACCTTCCTTCTGCTCAAGTAGAAAATGGTCAACTTAATGAAATACAATATAATTCATGCTGTTTGGGGGTTTATGGTAAGGTTTTTCTCTCTCTCTCTCTTTTTTTTATACTCAAGAAGGAGAGAAGACTTTTAAAAAAATCAACCTAGTTGTTAATATTTTATGTTTAATTTCATTTCTTACAGGCAGCTTCAAAAAATGGTCCATGATATGAAGAACAATGAAGGTGGAATAATGAACAAGATCAAAAAGTAAGTTAGATGCCATAGCACTATGTGAGCACTTATTTATGTAAATAACATCTTATGTCAGCCTGCACTAAGTGGAAGAACACAAAACTTCCCTGTTACCTGAGTGATGAGTTGCAACCTCTTTGGCATGTGACATTTTCTTACTCATGGCTAGAGTCATGGTGGTCAGACCCACATTCAGGAAACATGGTGAATGAGTGGGTGGTACTCAGGCACCTTGCTTTTCTCTCTCACTGCTGGAAAGCTGAGCTATGCCACGCAAGGTGCCTGGCAAACATCAAAAGAGAACTTTATAGAAGCAGGACAATCAGCTTCTCTGACCACTTAGCTAAGGGTCACTAGGACACACTTGGAGAAGTCCAAAAGAGAAGGTGCAAGAACACAGCCTGACTTCTTTAGGATGCCATAACTGTTTCCATATTTTGATTTCTGCTTTTTCAATTATGGCCTTAAAATGGTGTTTTCAATTGGCACTTGGAGAGGGCAAGTTAGAATTCTAAACCTTCCTGCACACACAGACACACACACAAGCCCCTAAGGTTCTTTTTGTTGCTTTTTAGAGAATAGAAATTGTACATTGTACATACCAGCATTTGCTACACAAAATCTAAGTCAAGAGGAAAGGGGAAATGGTATTCTGTTAAGATTTTGTTTAAGGCTTTTTTGTTTTTGTTTTTATGAAAGTAATACAGATCCACCAGGAAAAAAAAAATCAAAGAGTTCAGAATTGTACAAAGTCAAAATCTCTCACTTTCTCCTATCCCCACCCTAACCCACTCCCCAGAAATGGACACAGCATGAGTGAATTTGGTTTATATATCTATATGTGTATGCTTACATACTCACATACACACATTGACATAGATATAGTACATACATTTTCATCATGAGTGGCATCATACCACATACACATTCTACCAACTTGCTTTGTTGGTTTTAATTAATGCTAAATCACGGACATCTTTCTTTGTTAGTATGTAAAAATAACGATACACCTTTTTTTTTAAGTTTATTTATTTATTTATTTTTGGCTGCTTTAGGTCTTCATGCTGCTCACGGGCTTTCTCTAGTTATGGCGAGTGGGGCTACTCTTCGTTGTGGTGCATGGGCTTCTCATTGCGGTGGCTTCTCTTGTTGCGGAGCACGGGCTCTAGGCACGTGGGCTTCAGTAGTTGTGGCTCGCGGGCTCAGGAACTGTGGCTCATGGGCTCTAGAGCACAGGCTCAGAAGTTGTGCCGCATGGGCTTAGTTGCTCCGCAGTACGTGGGATCTTCCTGGACCAGAGCTTGAACCCTGCATTGGCAGGCAGATTCTCAACCGCTGTGCCAGCAGGGAAGCCCACCGTATACCTTTTAAACAGATAATTAATAGTCTACTATAAATGTATTATCATTAATTTAACCAGCTACATATTGATGGACATTTTTTAAAGTGGGAGTAGGAGTTTAAACATACATTTTGGGGGCCAATTTGATAATATCTATCAAAATTTTGTGGCCATTTCTTTTAGTTTACCTGTCACAAATAATACTTCAATAAATATCCTTTGCAGACTTTGAATGTACCAGAAAGCTAAATTCCTGAACTGAAATTTCTAGCTTCTGGGTAGAAGGATTTGTGCCCTTGAAATTTTGCTTGATATTGCCAAATTGCTGTCCAAAAATTTTGTACCACCAATACCGGATAAAAGTTCATTTCCTTGTGCCTTCAGAACAGAGTATCTTTTTTTTTTTTTTTTTCATTTTTGGTCTTTGCTAAACTTAAGAGTAAGAAATCAGGGACTTCCCTAGTGGAGCAGTGGTTAAGAATCTGCCTGCCAATGCAGGGGAAACGAGTTCGAGCCCTGGTCTGGGAAGATCCCACATGCCGCAGAGCAACTAAGCCCGTGCGCCACAACTACTGAGCCTGTGCCCTAGAGCCTGTGTGCTGCAGCTACTGAAGCCCGTGTGTTGCAATTACTGAAGCCTGCGCGCCTAGAGTCTGTGTTTTGCAACCACCACAATGAGAAGCCTGCATACAGCAAAGAAGAGTAGCCCCTGTTCGCCACAACTAGAGAAAGCTCACACGCAGCAGTGAAGACCCAATGCAGCCAAAAAATAAATAAAATTTAAAAAAAAGAGTAAGAAATCACTTTTTGTGGTGTTTTTAGGCTATAAAATGTAAACGAGTTTCAATATGTATAACTGATCACCATAAAATAGTTAAAATGGTCTTCTGCTTGTGGGGCAGTGGTCACCTCATACAGGAGAAGAATTTGTCTTCATGTTCTGTCCTATGATGGGGAGAGGTGTGTGATTATTTTCATTTCTTATTTCTGATATATATAGAATCTCATTGAAATGAGAGAACCCTGCTAGTCATTGTTTCAATTACTAGCAATTCTAGATTAATTATCCCACAGTTGCCAATTTTACAATACACCAATTCTTTCAATAATATGAAGTCTTTGTATAAAATGTCTCTTTATTCCATGGCCAGTCATACTTAACAGAAGCCATGGAGCTCAAATTTTTCCATATGATTTCTACTTCATTCTGCCCATTATCCCTAAATGCACTTTTACTTGACAAACCATGTTTTCTTCTCAGCTTGGGAAATATGGCTGCCACAGCCTTTACCCTGGGTGAAGTCAATGGCCCTTTGGGTCTAAGTGCCCCGATGTTAAGCTCTCACTCGTAACCAAGCAACAGGTGCCACCTTGAAAGGAGGAAGCACAGTTGAGCACACTGGTTTCCTAACAGAAGAGCAGAACAGAGTTGTCACTGGTTCATGGCCAAACGAGAAAATAATGACCTTGAAGTGTTGGGGGTTGGCATGCAGCTGCCGGCTGCTCAGTGAGGCCCAAACCACACCTCTTATTCCTGGTCGGTGCTCAGTGAACAACGGTAATCTCTTGAATCTGTCCTTTATTCTGAGATGATGACCTTCACACATTTGGGGGTATTAAAATACCCTTTCTTTTCTTTTTTGAAAGGAAGGCAATAACAAGTAATAGTTGGTTTGTGTTTTTTGAAATCTTAATGTTCCATGAACAGATCTCGCACCAGATACACTTTTGTTTTTGTTTTTCTCCCCTTCATCACCTTGGACAATCTCTCTCTGGACCTCATCATAGGTCTAATGATAGACCTCGCCCTGCTGGCTTGCTGAGAATTAAATGAAATAACAAACAGGAGAGCCTTTGGTGAAACAAGAAGCAGAATTTCTAGGCAAATATAAATATTGTTAGTTTTGCAACATTACAGTTCTGGTTTATAAGGCTTGTTTTTTGTAATCAAACGTGATTTTCTGTACTGCTTTTTTTCCCCAAAAATGAAATATGTTTTGTATGTAATGGTTACCTTATACACTGCTCATATAAAGAGATGTAATATTTTAGTATGTGAAGGCTACTGAGTTTTATATAGGTTTATTTATATATATTTTAAATTTCACTAAGCAAATCATTCTTAAATAAAATGGGTAACTATTATTAAAAATAATAATTTACTATAAACCTTACACATTTCAAATAATGAAAGAGAAAGTGTTGTCAGAACTTGTAAAAAGCCTAAAAACGGATACATTTTTGAAATGTAATTTTAGTTTTCTCCTTTTAATGAGTGGGGAAGCATTGTGCATTTTCAGAACATTTTATACGTGCATAAAGATAGCAGTTTTGAGAGCGCTTGAAACAGTTCAACTTCTAATCTAAATATCACAATCCCCAACCTGGAGACACTCACTGCTCACTTATTTGGCATTTTTTCAATAGTACAAAAATAATTTCAGTCCCACCTACAGCTAAACTGTTGATTATAGCTAATTGTTTACTATTATTTAAAGCGTTTATTAAATTATTTGTTAAAATAGAGTTCATCTTCTCTTCCCTTCCTATCAACCAATCAACATTTACCTTCCTTGAACCTCTGAGCTCAGCGCTTACATGTATTCTGGCCTCTCGGAGCCCTTTCAACTCCCAACTTCACTTTTGTCGAGTCACAGCCACACCGGGGAGATGGGGAGAGGTGGGAAACCGCTGACTAATGGCTTCGCTATGTTTACAGTACGTTTAGTCTTTCAATGTGATGAGTCCAAAAGAAGCTATTATTCTACTAGTTATCTATCCATTATCTCTAAACATGCTTATATCATGGACCTTGACAACAGTTGTCCTACTCACTGACCAGTTGTCTAATTTGCTATTTACAGGCTGAAAGTCAAAGCACCTCCAAGTGTTCCGCGAAGGGACTATGCCTCAGGTAAGAGTATTTCTAAGATACTTGAACTCTTGACTAATCTAACGTTCACAGTTACTTCTTGAAAAGAGAACACTGTTCTCCTCATTTGAAAACAAAAGAGCCCATCCTAATTTTAAGAATGGCCAAATCTATTAGGCATTTGACTGTAGTGGGGAGGTACTAATCCTTCAGTCTATCCATCCATCCATCCATCCATCCATCCATCCATACGTCCACTCACCTATTTATCAAATATGTACTAAGCAACTTCCATGTGTCAGGCACATACAAGGTTTTAGTAGAAATACAATGAAAATAAAATAGACATAATCTCCATATTCACAGAATTTATAGTCTAGAAGGGAAGATAAATGATATTAAAAGCAATTACAATTCAGCGTGATGGGGAAGCACAAAGTTCTATGGAAGTACATAGCAACAGTACCTAATCTAATCTGAGGTGGAGAATGTGCAGGAAGTGGGGAATGGAAGGCTTCCTAGACAAAGAATTGTTAAAATAGATATTTGAGGGTCAGTGAGGTGGGGGGAAGGGGTGTGGAATAAATTACTGATAGCACATAGTTACTCAGTGCTCTCCAAGTTTTAGCCCTGCAGCCCCATTTCACCTAAGATCAACTTCGTCAGGGAAGAGGAGTTAGTCTTGAGATTGGTAGTGTTTATGGCAGCAGTAAGCTAAGTAAACTATCCACCACACTTTCCTTTTCTAGAACAGATGCATTGGGAGGATAAGTCTAAAATCTCTTTCTACTGGCTTAAATATAAAGATGTCCTGGATATGGACAGATCTATACAGCCCTCAGTGAAAACCACAAGGCTACAGACACTGATGAAGACTCTTCCTCTATAGGGCAACAGCTAAAACCAAATCACAACCTTAAAGGATGATTACTATTTTATTTTATTTTTTCTGCCACTGATCAAGATAGCATTAAATCAGGTAGTTGAGTTCCCCTTGGGCACTGATGAAATCTTATCACATTCAGAAATGCTGACCAGCATACCAAGTCTGGTGACTGACCCATTGGTCACTTTCCAGAACTCACTAGGTCACACAGTATTTATTGACCTCACATTGCCAATCAGTCAGCAAGCCTAGACAGTTGATTAGGGGATTCCTTTGCAATTTGGAGCTAAAGAATAAACACCCCGTCCTGACTTTTAAAATCTACCTAATTTGTCTATGGCCATATGACCCTGAACACACCCAATCTTGTCTAAAATCTACTTAATCAAAAGCAAATGAGGGAATTCCCTGGTGGAGGGCCCGGGTTCAATCCCTGGTTGGGGAACTAATACCCCACAAGCCGAGCGGTGCAGCCAAAAAAAAAAAGAAAAGTTAAAGAGAACAAATACATTTTCCCTCCAAGTTCTAAAAAAGAAAAGAAATCAAAGCAGACTGAACCTGTTAGGTACCTAAAGGTCTGATCAGAAAATATGGAATCATGGAGTCTCAGGTTTTAAAGGGACCCCAGAGGTCATATGATCTAACATCCAATCCAATGCTTAAAGATACCCCCCCCATGCACCACACACAAGGCCCACTTTCCACTTGGACACCTCCTGTGATGACCTCCCAAGCCTGTCTGGTCCAGTCACGGAGAGACAACCCTGGAGTGATGAAGATGCGATCCATTTCCTGTGGCTTCCTAAGTCTCTCCGGGTGGCCACACAGTGCAAGTTTTTAAATATTAAAAAAAGGGGAAACAGAGTTGTTCTGTGAAACTTCAAGGATAGAATTAAGAAGTGAGGTCCTTCGAATGGCTTCTTCTCTAGAATAAACATCTCCAGGTGCTTCAGCCATACCACACAGTCTTTGATTCACTCAACAAATATTACACGAGTGTCCTGTTTGACACTCACTGTGCTAGATATATAATAAGGAACAAAATATAGTCTTCAACCTTAAAGTGCCTAATGACTAGTGGGGAGTCACATAATAAATCAGAACATAAACAGGTAAATACAAATTACCAAACATGGTAACTGCTGTGAAGGAACATGGCAGATGCAGTGATAGGGAATCAGTATGGGGTAAGGGAACAATGTAAGCAGTCAGGGAAGGTCTCTCTGAGACGGTGACATTCAATTTGAATCCTGGGGAATTAGGAGGAACGTTTGTCACTTTGTAGATGACCCAGCAGCACTGGAGATGCTGGATACAAACATTAGGTGCTCAGAGGCAATTCGATCTATCTGACTTCAGGATGGATGTCTGGCCTCCTCATACTCAACTGTCTCCTTGCTCATGCCCTCACCCAGGCCCCTTCTTTTCCTCTACTTTTTACTTGGGCAGAAGACAGGGAGCATTCATGATTTATTCACCCTTTGGCCTAACCCACACACACTGGAGATCATCCTTGATTCCTCCTCTTCCTTCAACCTCTACAAAAAAAATTAATCTCTAAAACTTATTAATTCTCTCTTTTAAGTGTCTCTCAAATATTTTTGCCCCTCTCTATGTACATGGCTACAGCTCAGACCCTGGTCATCTCTTGCTTGTCCTAGAACAAAAGCCTCTAAGTAGTCTCCTGAATTCCTAATTCCACGGGGTCCTCTCAACCTCCACCAGAGAACTGTTCTGAAATACCTTTGCTTAAATATTTTCACGGCTCTACATCATCAACAAGAAGAACTGCAAACTACCGAGCCTGCATACAAGGTCCTTCAATGCCTAGCCACTAAATGGCTGTGTAACTTTGGACAACTCACTCTTTTCTCCTTTTCTAGATCACGCAGGGCTGAACCAGAAGACCTGTTAGGTTCCCGCCAAAGCAAATACTCAACACTCTGGCAGAAACACAAGTCCTGGGAGCCCAGGGCCCACTGATGAAGCAAGTCTCTCCTAACCTTCCCTGGCTTTAGAACTTTGCCTCTTCCAATCTCCTTGATGCTCAGAAGTTCCCTTTCTTGACTTCAGACACCTGCTCTCTTCCCTGAAATCCCCCAAATAGTCTTGATATCAATACATTTGTACTTAATCTCTCTTGGAACACAGAAACCTGGCCCAGTCAGGTCTTCTAAATCTTTGCTACTCAAAGTGTAATTCCTAGCCTGGCAGCAACAGCATCACCTGGGAGCTTGTTAGAAATGCAAAATCTCTGCTCCACCCTAGAACTGCTGGATCAGAATTTGCATTTTAAGAAGAACTCCAGAGGATTTGAATGTATATTAAATTTGACAAACCCTGCTATAAACCACCAACTCTATCCTTATTGATTCTCCTGAACTGAAAGACAAATCTGTTGAAGTTCCAGAATCTCTAAAATTCATCCTATTGTTTCACCAGACCTATACGGCCTTGCTTAATCTCCCTGCTCTTACACTCAATCCCTGGAAAAGGTCCTTTTGGCAAAACCACCATCATCACCTGCAGTTAGTACCCCCTTTGCCAATCCCTGCCCCCCCAACTCATGTCCCAGGAGCATTTCCAGCTACTTTCCCTGAGCCTTGGGGTCCCTGCGCAGCCGCAAGCCTGGGGCCTCAGAAACCAACCCTGACAGTTCCTCCTGAACCTATAGCATCTTCAAGGATCTTGGAGGCCCCAGTGCTTGGAGACCTTAGCCCACCAGACCTCCTGAGCCCAGGAAGCCTATCAAGTGCTCCCTGGAGGTCTGTGCAGATTTGATCCACCCAAGGCTTCTGAAACAGCCCCACCTGTTTCAGCTGGATGCTGGAATTATGTCCTCTTTCCAGTTCCGGAAACAAATGGCTTCCCAAACCCTTTAAGCCAAGTTGGAGAGTGTGTTGACCTTGGTGATGCTGACCTTCAGAGAGCAGAGGATAGAAAGAGCCAGCGCCCCCCAGAGGTCAGCAAAAGAGTAACCACAGTCCCTCTAGTGGAGTGTGTAAGGACAAAGCTTGAACTATACAAAGAATGGAAGCCTGGACCTCCTACAGATGCAGGTCAGGCCAGTGTGCAGCCTGTTGCTTTCACTTCAGACCTCACAACCCTACTTGGTCTCTGAGGAGGGAACATTGCTCACAGGGAGCTCACGGTCCACTGAGCAAACTGTTTTACTCCTGTGCAGCTGGCATTGTTGTGGGAAAGGAAGATCCAAAACATATCGGTGTTTACTCTGTCCTGGGCATTATGCTAAGCTCTTTACAGACATTAGCTCATTTAATCTCCCATTAGCACATTATGTAGAAATGACTATCTCAGTTTCACAAATGAGGAAAATGTGTTTCAGGAACATTAAGTAACCTGTCCAAGGTTACTGCAACCACTAAAAAGAAGACCCACCCCAGGCTTCCATTTTTCCTCCCTTTGACCCAAGCTGGGATGGCTACACTTTTCTGGGGCATTTCTTATTTACTATTCTGAAAGCCCCAGAGCCTCTGACATTAACACCTGTTTGTTGAACTTTCAGAGTTGAACAGCCTACTCTATCTTTGAGTCTAAGGTCTGGCTGGAGAGGGAGGGTGGGGAGGGGAGATCAGTCGTGGTGCCCCCAGAGTCTTCTGGGGTCACTGCAGAAGCCCCACTCGTCACTCTGCAAGCCCCTGAGAGGTCAGAACTGAACAAGGCCTCTCTCCTTGTACCCTAGGGCTCTGACAGCCAGGGGCTGTTGTCATGTCCCCAGGGGGTCCACCTTCTCCTCCCACCACTGATAACGTTCAGGGAAGAGATTGGAGCAATGATAAAGCGAGGAGACCTCAGGGCAAAGAAAGATACTTAGACAGGGATTGCTGGGTAAATGCCCACCATAGAAGCAGAGCTTTCTGTTTCTCCTTGGTTTTATCTGAACGCTCAGTGGAGGGCCAGGTGGTTCACATGAGATTTCAGCTGCAGGAGCCAACACAGCCTGGCCTCCAATCCAGCCCCCATACTCACCAGCCATGTGCCTCAGACACATTTGCCTTAGCCCCAGTTTCCTTGATTGTAAAACAGAGATAATAATGGCACCTACCACATAGTCCTGCTTTGAGGATAAATGAAGAAATACACTTATAACACTTCCCCTAGCACCCAGCACATAGGAGGTATTCAATGATGGAAT